CAGCAGGAGCATGAGCTGGTGGCCCCACAACTGCAGTAACTGAGGCATGAGAGTGTGTTTCCATCTGTTGTACCTGTTACTGAGGTAATGATCTCCATCAAAGGTACAAGGCTTGCAGCCAGGAGGGTCATACAGATAACACCAATGTAAATATGTCTGAGCTAGTTTACCTATGAACCTTCTGCCAAGAACAAGAACAGGAAAAGAAACTGTAGAGGGAAAGGTGAGGAACTCATCTGAGCTTCTAGGCTGTAGTACGCACATCTGCTCAGTCTTCTAGAAAAACTCAAATTCATCACTGTGAGCACCTCACAATTGTAAGTCAGGATGAAATCTTGCATGATTGTGCCACTACAGGTTGTATACAAGGAAAACCACATACCAAGCCAGAACAGCAGTAAGTCCCCCCTAGGGTACTTGGGTAAGAGTGAAATGGGAGGTGGGATGCAGGGGGTCAGCTGACACTATGCCATATAAGATGTGACCAGCAACAAGATGCCAGGTACATCGCAAATTTATTTTTCACAAAGCAGGACTGTACTACAGGAGCCAGTCATCAGCAAGAGCTGTACATTCGGTGCCAGATGCAGTTGAGAGCTCAGCATTAGCCACAGCATCAGGGTCTAAGATCTTACAGTGCATTAATTGTTTACAAGAGCCCAAGACGTCTCTTTCTCAGAACAGTTGCCTAGAAGAATTAGAACTGTCTAGAGAGAAACTTCAGTCAAAATCCTGCTCCCAGGCACCTTCATGCTTGCTGTGAATATGGTGCAGCCCAAGCCCTTCAAGGAACAAAAAAAATGCTCTTTTTCCCCCCAAATAAGCAGGCTTTTCACTGATAAATCTCAATGTGTTTGCAAAATTGCCAGCAATGTTTTAAGCATTGATAATATATCAAAGCTGAACTAGAAGAGCAAAATTCTAACCAGTTGAAGAGTTTCTAGCTTTAATTATGGAAGAGGGAGCAGATTGAAGGGAGTGGGTGGAGGGAAGTCTGAGAACATACAGTACTGTGCACTATGAAATGTTGCGGGGAAGTAGAAGTCTGAAGGGCAGCCCCACGTATTTGAGAGGTTTAATGGTAAATGTTATTGCTCTGCACATGTGAAAGACATAACATGTATTTTTTTCAGTCTAACCATCTCACTTCAGATTGAAGCAAACAAGGAGGAATAAGTATTAAACCTCCATAAGAGACACACAGTGACTCACAGTTGTGCATCCGAGAAGCACAAAAATGGCAATTGCCTGGAGTTGCCTTTGCTGCACGAGGGACTCCTCAGCATTTAAAGAAAGAGGGGTATGGCATAATGTCTTGGTTCATAGTGCACAGCTAAATTTACAGACATGTTTATTTATCAAATAGTTAAAAAGTACTATTTTCTTTAATTTTCTTGAAGCAGCAACATTTCTGCCTACGTGTTTTGGAATCCAGACTCCCTGGCACCATAGCTTTAGCAACATAGCCATCCTTTCAACTGATTTTTTTTCAGGAGGCCCCCACATACACCACAATATCCAAGATGCTGGATTAAAAAGTCATAGTGTGAATTTCCACAGGGAGATGGTCAGAAAATTAATTGAGGTTTCTTTTGCCAGTGGAAAAGTTAACATTTCTCAACAACAGAGTAACAACACAAAACCAAATGCCTCAATTCTCAAATTTTACTGGAATTTCTCATGTGAGTGCTTCCATGTTCTCTTCTTCTCTGTATACCCTAGAGCCCTTTGCTACATCACTGGCAGTGCAGTAGCAGATACCCATGGCTACAATGCACCATGAAATATCATCTGGCCAAAGAACTTGACCCATACAAAAAAAAAAAAAGAACAAACAGACATGAGACATCCCAACTAAAACAGCCCTGAGGTCAGGTTCATTGCAAGAAGCCCATGCTTTCCAGAGAAGCCTGGTTTCATGAACACCCCCTTTCCATCCAAACAGTTATTGATAAGATATTTTGAACTAAAAATTAAATTTCTAGCATAATATCATGATTTAACTTGTTAACTAAAGAACAGCCTAGTCTCTTTGAAAAGAGAAAAGTATCAATATATGTTGCAGTGCCATTTTTTACCATAGCTTCCTCTGGAAATTACAGCACCAGCAATTTCAGTCATTTGACAACCAGCACTGTTTGTAGGCATCAGTGCTCAAGTTGCTCTGAATCTGAGCAGCTGCATCCTGAACCTTATCATCACACCACACACAAAGCAGAAACAAGAGGGGCTCTTGCAGAAGTCCAGAGGAAAGCGGAAACCAAGCCCTGAGAGGTGGTAGAGACCAGAGGGGAAGCAGGCATAACGGTCCTGGAGAAAAGAGAAGTCTGACATGCTTTCTGGCTGGAGCAGGAAACTGCTCTCCTACCCGATTGCAACAGCAATAAAACTGCAATAACAAATTAAGAACTGACAGGAATATGGAAAGGGAGGAAAGACAGCCCTCTGGCTCTTGTCACACTTGAGTAGGTGGAAAAACAACTTCAGACACCAACTTTTTGTCCCAATCTGGTCATGCAATTGCAGAGACTGTTTTAGTGGTATGGAGGACAAAGTTCAGCATGTGGACTCGGAGTTGAAGGAAATACTGGTGACTTATCTCCCTCCTTTAAAGGGTTATTGTCATTTATCAGAACTTAGGACTTGGGACCTCCTTTTGGACCACACTGACAATCCATGTGCTGCAGAGCCTGGCTTTGTCAGAGCCCCCAGCTCCTCCTAACACTTTCATTCATTTCATGCTCCCCTCTAATCAATAAGGTTTTGTCACCCATGCTTGCTCCCTGCCAGCTGCTACACTTGTGTGGCATTGCTGCAAAAATAGGGTCAGACTGGAGATGCTAGCTCAGCATCACAGAGGACACTCATGTCTCAAGTTTCACCATGGTATGAAAGGAAACTTCTCCTAACCTGTTATTTTCAATTCAGTGAGAAGATTACCTCAAGCAACAATAACTTAGAAACAGAATTCAATTCTCAAGTCTATATTTTGACACCACCAGCTCTAGATAAACTGGAGAACCTACAGCTGCTTCTGCATGTGCTGCAGTTGCTTCTCAGGCTTCCACAGAGAAGGAAGGTAGATGCACAGGCTAGCTGGAAAGCCACCATAAGGGACAAACCTACACCTAAAGCAAGCCTTGAGACTCAAGATAATATGCTGCCAAACTGGCCAAATCTTTCACCTCCAGCCACAGCTCTAGAAAACACTTGCATGTTCTGTTGGTTGTGGCAGCTGAGCTGTCAGTTGTTGCTGACAGCTGTCACCAGGGAATGACACATTGGCAAGCCTTCAGGCACAGCAGAGTCTTAAGGAGGCTAGCAAGGAAGAAAGTGGAAATGGGGGGAAAATGGTTGCATTTGTACAAGAGTTTTGGAGCTTCATGACAAAAACCAGACATTGTAGGAGCTGGTAAGAGCCACATTCATGTCAGTCATCAGCTGTAGGTCTTTACCCTCAGCTCTGCTAAAGTCTCACAGAGAGAGAAACACAGAATATTTCCTGGGTTATAAATAGCACATTATGGTGGACCCAGCAGGAAACACTGCAGGATCTCAGTCACACAATTTTATTTTCATTTTTGGATTTTCATCCCACTTTAGGATTCAGTTTCCCAATCAGCCTCAGCAAGCCATCTTGTGATACAAACAAATTAAAAAACATCATCATAACCAATTGCTCGTCAGTGCTGAGGAAGGAATGGTAATGCCCAGAGCCAGGGAAGAGCAGCTGTACTAAGACTTCACTGTTGAATGAGTATTTACTACCCACCACTGTATGGAACTTGCTTTCCCTGAACTTGGTCCATTTTCCCAAACAGCAGGGTTTAGCCACATAGAGACTATCATCTGAACATGCTTCAGACTGAAGTGGCAGGAAGGACAGAAGTAGCTATTAAACACAGGGTATGGGAACTTTGAGCACATCTTGGAAAATTTCTAAGTAATGTGTAATCTCTTTTTTATAAGACTTTAAATTTTATCATTTTCTTCTATATAGTATCTTCTTAAAAATAAGACTTGTTACCCACCACTTTGTCTCCAAACAGATCCGCAGCAAGATTTTGCTTTCAGTGTTGACCGTTGTTCTGATATCACAACCCAAACCTTTAACATCAGAGCTGCAATGGTCCTAAGTAAGTGAATTGCTATTTTCTGATACCAAACAGGTAATTCGTGTGTAAGTGCTCATGTGTGAGCATTAATAAGTAAGCAAGGGTGACAGCCTCCTATAAAATACAAATGGGCTTAATTTCTGAGAAATTTCAAAACCTGGGTGGGCTACAGAAACGTCTGTTATCAGCTCTGCCTCAGACTACATATGTCACCCTAAGCAGGTCATATCAGCCCTCAGCCCCTATTCCTCTCCTACCCCTCATTCGTACACATGGATAGCCCAAGGTGGGGGGCTGCTCTGGAGCTTTTTTTTCCACAGCTAAATCTTCTGGGAAGAGTCTTGTTGAATGAGACACCTACAGCCCCCCCTACTCTTGTGTCAGCACCAGCAGTGCTTACCAAATCCCCAAGTTTGACCCTTACAGGTAGGAGGCTGAACTAAGGGACTCCATTAAGATGGGGGCACCTCCCTGCCCCTCTTGGCCATGCAAAGAAGCATGGTAGGGAGTGCTGGAGATCCAGAGCACTGCAGGAGTACTAGCCCAAGGCAACACAGTCATGCCATCAGTCACCACTGTGCTGGCTGAAATTATACCCTCCAGCACTTGACTGATGAGCAATAAAAGGTCAAAAGCAGAACTGCATAGAGCTAATGGGCTGGATGCACAACTTAGTATTAGCCATTGCTTGACTTGTGATCTTTGCACAGGAAAGCTACCTTCTTGCAACCCTGTTGGCCCCAAGATCACCTAGAAGCTCTACTACCAGAGCATAAATATGAGAGCACTACTGCATGCTCCTGGTGCTGAAAATAAGTTTGCGTGCCAAGTGTCTTTTAGCACTTGGGAACACTTCCTTGCATGCAAAGGGTCTCCCTCCTGTGAGACATGTTCCCCTTTTGCCTTGGGAGCACCAGTTTTCAGATGGCTCCAAAGTTAAACAAAAGTCACCTTACAGGCAAATATTCTTCCAACAACCCAGAGTACAGGACCTCCCTCTACATCCAGTAGCCTCCCTGGCTGTATCTATGTTAGTAAGCCAGGCACAATCAGGCAAGCTCACAGTGCTGCCAAGCTGGTCCCTGGCACAGGTCTGGCTCAGGCCTGCTACTGTTTTCCCAGGCAGCAACTAAAGGTCACAGGTTGCCCATTGGATACGGTCCCTCTGCCAGGAACAGTAGGGAAGAAAGACTTTAGACGCATGGACACAAGCTTTACTATGCCAGTTGGCCTCAGGGTCAGAGAGTGGCCACAGTCATAGTTTATTTAACAGTAAAGATATATGCTATTACGTCCCCTGTTACACACCTTAAGGGACTTAGAGACCTGTTCCTGCAGCATGGATTTCTGTGTACCATCTTCTCAGTGAAGAGAATACATTCAGTGGTTTAAATGTCAGAGGAAAAACTGAATTTTTTAAAAAACAGTAAACCTGTTTACCCTTGCACTTTCTGAGCTCTCCTTCTGCTTTGTGTGTAGGACACAGCATCAAGGAACTGTACATCAAGGCTGACCTGATCATAAATGGGAAGACTGTCTTAAGCTACTCAGACACGCTTTGCGAGCCGGGTCATTCTAAGCTTGTTTTCTGTGGAAAGAAGAAAGGAGGTAAGTTAGGTAGCACTCTAAATGTTTGATGGCTACTGAATATTCCAAGCAGGATGCACCCACTGTGCTGTTGAATGCACTAATACATTGCAATGTTCTGTTTACTTCAATGACATGTTAATGGATGACAGAAACACAGAAGGGCAGAGATGTTTTAATCTCAGAGCCTACTTTTTCCCTTAAGCTGTTTGCTTGCTTGCTTTGAATCACAGAATATCACACATACATGGGATTTCGAGTCCATAAAAAAAACTGTGCTAATGTGTCCTCATCCAACAGCAGAGGTTCACCAGCCCTATTTATAGCCACAAGGTCATCACGTGAGCAAGTAGTATTACAGAACTGGCCTTTATTTTTGTCAAAGAAATGGCTGAGTGAGCAAACAAACAAGCCACTCTGAACATGTTCTTCACTAGTAAGCAAGTAACATTTCCTGTCCTTAAAAGGAGTTCTTAGCTCACTTTAAGAGAAATTATGCTTGAATAAGGATATTTGAACCAAGATACTGTTGAATACCATCAATAGTTTGCTTTTGCTTAACATGTGCCTATGCAGCAGTCAGAAGATTTTAGTCCATGCCAGTCAAACTGCCAGCTGGTGTGTACTTGCACCTGTTGGTTTACAGTGGTATTAGCTGCCCCCAGAAAGCAGACACCTTCGGTTGCAGGTGAGCCTGGGCACTTCAAAATCCCTTCTGCCACAACCTAGATAGTGCACAGCCAGCCATGGAGTGTCAAGAAGAACTGTGGCCATGCCTCTGGACTGTAGTCACCACATATCTTAAATGGTTATTTTGAATCCCTCTTACACCATTATCATCTCTTTAGGCTGATTTTAAAACAAGTAGGGCTGCAAGGGAGTTTCAGAGTTGTTAGAGCACCAGTTAGTTCAGAAGGTCTGCTTTCCTTCCATTCACTTGCATCTCCATCCTGATAACAGCAATAAGTCATGTTCAAGGGGCTATGAGTTTAAAGACCATGCACAGCACTACTGCCAAGACAGCTCCTGAAAAATTACTGAGACATTTCATACAGCATAGAAATACCACAAAGAATAATAGAGAAATGCTGCATGAGCAACCAATTATGTAAATCCTGTAAGCCAGATAGACAAAAAAATTAAATTCAGAGGTTTCTTCAATTGTGTATTGAATTACAAGGAGGGGAGAAAAGCCACCCACAGACCTACTGAAAAACTGTCTTATTCTGATGAAGTACTAAATAATATCCTTTAGAGAATACATTAAGGAGAAGTAGAGTCAGTCCTGAGCTGAGCACAAAATGCTTTTCACACATTAAGTCACAAAAACAAAACCTCCTGGGGTTTCCAAATCCCTTAAACAGGTGATCACTTCTACTAATTGAAGTACATTATGATATAAAGCCATAGTTGGTTGTTTAAATAATACTATATATCTTCATTTAGAAGCATCCCTAAGTTAACACGGGGACCTCTGCCACACACTTTTTAATACACATCCTCTTGTTCAGTAGGTGTTTTCATTTAGTAATTAAAGTCACAGCAGGAAAGAAGTGAACTTTCTCAGCCTAAGGTTCAAACTGAAAATGTGGTATTTCTTAATTAGTTGACATTTGATTCTAACCCACAGTTTAGGACACACAAGTTTGCTGAAGACCAGTTTGGGGTAATTCAGCACAGCCATAATTTACCACATTAGCACAGCTATAAATCCGACCTAATGCCTACACAGAAAGGACAACATCGTGAATGGTCAAGTACACAGCCTAGCAAAAGTGCAGAGGAGCAGATAGCCCTTTCAGCAGAAGCTTTTAATGCAGAGCCCTTTTTTCCCTGTTATACATGCAAAATTTCCAGCCTCTGGCCAGACCTGACCTCAGTTCAAATATAGTTACACACAGAATTTGTTTGCCTTCCTTAAAAGAGGTCAAAATTTACCCATTCCTTCCTCTCCCAAAATAAGACAGAATGTAGTTCTGCTACAGGCTTTGTTGGTCCACTCATTTGTGCAGACAAGCAGAACAGAAGTTACAAGGAAAAGAGACTTACAGGAGCTGGATGTGGCAAAGTCTTGGCTGTTTGGTTGGGGTTTTTTTGGTTTGTTTTTTCTTTGCTCTCTCTATAGTTTTGCCTTGACTAGAAATACTTTAGGAGACTTAATATAGCTGGAGGTTTTCATGTTCATCATAATCATATAGCATCTACTATTTATGTTAAGCAAAGGTCACATTTAGCACTGCTCATTGGGACTCCAAAATAGGAGTCCAAGATCTTTTTCTTTAAACTCTATGACTGTTGTCATATAGCTAGCTCAAAGGTTGCAAGGAAATGGGTTTTGGGAAATGGAAAGGTCCATTTAAGAACGATAACAACAACAAAAACTGTTAAATTCTTTGTGGCATAACATTAACTCAGCTCTTCCTCTTTTTTAGTAGAAAGTGCTGGTTATTCCTCATTTCCTCTAAAGAAAATAGTTACATAAGAGTTAACAAACTTCCCAATGCAATCCCTAAAAACCAGAGAAAAAGACCTACCAGGGTAATATTTAGCAATGTGTCAATCGCAACTTGCAGGCTTAAACAAAGATAGTTGCATCCCCTCCAATTCCACAAGTTTTCTTTCAGTCTCAACTGATAAAGGCACCATCAGAGAACTTGCACAATTCCTTGTGCACACTCCCAAACCATAAAGAACAACCCACCTTGCTTCAGACCTCCATTCTTGATTCTGTGATTCTTTACATGATTGCCTCTTTCAATAGGTGTTACAGCGAGCAAATGTCTAAAAGAGTATTTGTGAATAAAAGTAGAGAACATGGCATGAGTTGCAGAACTAGGTATCACATTGGGAGTTTAGATACATGTTTCTGTGAAATCAGCCACACCACAAAGCTGGTTCTTTGGGCTGATATGCAATGGTGTCTTGCTTAGGCCTTTCACCTCATTTTTTCCTCCCCAGTAAAGACAGTGGATGTTCCTCACCCAGCTATGTATTTATATATAGGTTGATGTTTTTTTCCTCACTCAACCATCCATCTATAGCTGGCAGTTATTCAGATCATTCCTGCATCCCTAAAGCTCACAGAAATTGTCAGTTGCATCCCCTTGCACAAGATTGTGTCCTAGAACTCCAACATGGAGCATTTAAGTTCTAAAAAGATTTCAAACAGAAAAAGGAAGAGGTGGGTGCAGATGTACAGGGCCTTTATATAGTACAGGAGTGTGAGAATGTTTAAAGACTTTCAGTGGAAGGAAGATTTGAGAAAGAGGAGTGAGAATTTCATTATAGGTGTTTTGTCAGAGATGAGAAGCATCTTCACAACAAATGATCACTAGTAACTTGAAGTAATCCTCAAGAAGTTTTGCTTACATATCTGAAAGCTCTGCTTCAGAATGGAAGCTGCCAGAGGCTTGCTCACTGGCAGGGAAAAGAACTGAGTTACTTTTGGTAGAAACAATAGTGAAAAGTTGCTACAACAAATACGATAATAGCACCTTGAATCAGTGGTACATTAGAAATGTTTTCCAGGATGCTCTACAGAAGTCACCTTCAGTTAAGTCTTTAAGAAAAAGGGCTGAACACAGAAGGTAGACTGAAAGCACGTCACTGATGACAGCATGCTTGACTGATACTATAACTTATCAGGAGACCAATAAAGACATAGGGGAAGTTTTAATTGGAAAAATCACTGATAGTTTATGCTGTTCCCAGTGTTCATACATTTTTGCAACTACATCTGGGCTTGTTCTGAAAAGACTGCAGAATTCCTTCAATGAGCTACACTTAGTGTTTGTGACAGTTACACTTAGTGCAGCAGATGTGCTCATCCTCTTTCAATGGCAGAATGCAAAAGTGCATGAATATATGGAGAAAAAAAATGTATGAGTATATGAGGGATGCTGTAATAAACTAGTCCTTAAAGCCTTGGAGGATGTTTACACTTCTGGAATTATAGGAGAAATCCTCATGCAAGAAAAGCACTGAATGGGCTTTGAAAAGCCTGATCCAGCCAGCATAGGCACTGAGGAGGATGCCATGGTCTGAAGTGACTATGAATGATAAAATTCAGCATATCTATGGATCCATATTATTTCCTGGCAGATCTCAACTAGCTGAAAATCAAAACTGCCTTTGGTTTCCTACCAGGAGACAATTTCAAAACAGAGAAGTCCTTTTTCCCCTCCATTGCTGAAGCAAGAAAGGTCACAAGAGTTTTCTAGAGGCCACAACCAACAGAGTGGTTGAGGTTGGAAGTGACCTCTGAAGAGCATTTAGTCCAACTCCCACCTACTCAAGCAGTGCCACCTACAGCAGGTTGCTCATCACCACATTTAGGCTGGGTTTTTGAATATATCCAAGGATGGAGATGCTGCAGCCTCTCTGGGAAACCTCTGCCAGTGCTCAGTCACCATAACAATAATTTTTTAAAAGTTTTTCCTGATGTTCAGGAGAAGTCTCTTGTGTTTCAGTTGTGCCTTTACCTCTTGTCCTGTCACTTTGCACCACTGGAAAGAGCTTGGCTCTGTCCTCTTTACATCCTCCCTTCAAGTATTGCTACATACTGATGTGCTCTCCCTTAATCTTTGTTCTCTCAGCCTCTCCTCATTGGAGACATGTTCCAATCCCTTGACCATCCCAGTGGCCCCTTCACTGGATTCTCTCCAGCAGCTCCATACAATTTATAGCTGTGAACCACTGCAAGACCCCTGCTTAGAGAACTAGGCTAATGCTGAAGCACAAAGCAGTAAACATGGACTTCAGACTGGATACACAGCACCTAGGTCCACAGTTTGAGGCTCCCTAAAAGATAGTACAGGCCATGAAAGTGACCCCACTGATTACCTATCACAAATAAGAGCAATCATGGAAAACTTTTCAGAGGGCTGAGGCAGAGCCCTGAGATTGCCTTCCTCTAGCTCTGATGTAATCATTACTTTGTCACAGGCAAAGGGGCTGGGGCAAAAAATAGTTTCTACCTACACTGAAGGAGAGATTAGCATTGCCATCATTTCAGAAGCAAATTTATGGCCTGATGACTCCTACTTCATTTTAAAATATAGGCTTTGTAGAGCCAGAATGCTGCATCTGTATGTTTAGATTCTGGGTAACTTTGACAGCCTAGGTGAGACCCTAAGAAGCCACATGATCCAAGAGGAGTTTCCATGTCCCTGTGGAGGAGGGCTATGGGGAAGGGTGATTGTTCACAGCCCAGTTTCCTCTCCACTCTCCTCTGCTGACAAGCTTTGCTATTCTCAGAGTCAGCTGAAGGAGAGACAGTTAAACAAGGCTCCCTACTGAACAAAAGGACACACAAGCCATGAGCCACACAGTTATATGGTTCACACCACTCTGAGGGGGCAGCTGACAATATGGCTTAACACACATCAACACACATCCAGCTCAAGTCTGAAGGGAGTAACTCATCACACAAGTCTTGCAGTCTGCAGTGCCTTTAACTCCCATTTAAACTCTAGTAAAGTTGTGAACTGAGAAGTGGGCTGTACTGTATTTTTAAAATTCTTGACTCACTGCTTTCTGCAACAGAGATGTGTCAGACTCCAGGGCTCTTGCTTCGTGCACAGAAGCAAGCAGGGATGGTGGCTGCTCTTTATGAAGGAAGAGACTTCTTGGTGTCCAGGTGAAGCAGCCAGGGATGCAGAAGGGAATGAGTACAGTCTGGGTGCTGCAGCATAGGTGATCTGTTTGAGAGTGACAAACCAAAACACACTTATTCTATTCTGTTTTTCTATTAGGTTTTTCAGGGCAACACTAAGAAGTTCTGCATCTTCTCCACCTCCCAGGATCATCAGGGCATTACATGTAACAAATTCCTCATTGATGTAAAGGTGTAGAACATCAGTGATATTCTTAGGTTTCTCCTAACTCTTTTCCTGGTTTGTCTTACAGTCACGATTCTTTCATATAAGTTTGTTACAAGGCACTGTAACATTTCATAGCATGTGTGGGGAAGACTCTTTCCAAATCAGATACCTACTGCATGGAGGGATGGACCATACTACATGAGCACATTACAAATCTTCAGTAAGAAGCAGTTTAAACCAGCACAGTGAGACTGGACTAAAACAACTCTCGGTGACAAGCATCAAGATGCCAGCATATACTCATATAAATATGATAAAACACTAACTCCTCTGTCACTGTCAAAGTACAGAATATTTCATGACACCTACAAAAGAATCCTTAAACAGTTCTTAGACTTTTCCACGACTTGTGGAGGGCAAGTTGTGCAAGAAATTCTGAAATACTGAAACATCTACACATTTTATTTTCAGTCAAGTCTGCACAGTTTGGCCCAGTAAGCTACAAAAAAGTAGGAGGAACTGCAGAACAGCTTGCTAATTCTGTCCATTAGTGCCAAAGCTGCCCTTTCTTCAACAGCAAAAAGCAAGCATGCCTTGTGATTAGAGATGAGGATTGGAAGGTGGAACTCCTGGGCTGTATTCCAGTCACCAACACAACTTTTGATGGCTTTAACACATCATGTAACTCAGTGGTGAACACTCCCTCAGCAGCGAGATAGACATATTACTTTAAGGTCATGTTCAGCAAGCAGTCAGAAGTCCACACCTACAGAAACACTCATCTCAGATTGGTTTTTCCTTAAAGTTACCAAAACAGTATAGTTCAACTATTGCAGCTGCAAATGGTTCAGAGATCACAATAAAGATCTAAATGTCTAGCAACCCTCCTCGCCTTTCATTTCCCCATGTGCAGGATGGATGCTAGCATAGGAACACAGACCCAGTTGTGCAAAACCATTCCCCCCTCCTCCACTCAGACAGGGGCTGAAGGTCCTCCTTGAGCCTGGGCTCTGCCCTGCCTTCCCTAAGTAGCTGTACACATCCTGACATTTCTCAGGAGGGTTGTTGCAAGACTGTATAGAGCACTTTGCAGTTCCAAACACTTGTCACTGGAGTTCTTTAAAGTGCTATCACAAAAAAGCATTGCCAATCAGCTGCTTGTTTCCTTCGTGTGCTGCCTGTCTAACCACCCATCATCTTGCTTTTCAGAACACCTCTACTACGAGGGACCAGTCACACTGGGATTCAAGGAAATCCTACAGGTAAGTTGGTCACCACTGTGCTCCCAAACAGAAGGGCTTTCAGGATGAGTTATGGTCAGGGGACTACCAATCACATCAGCATATTCCAAGCTCCCCCAGCTGGCACACCTGATCTGAGAGTGTTTACATGACTAATCCTTTTCAATATGAAATTAAATGGCTTTGCCTAAGGCATTAGAGAACCACCATTATCCAGACATGAACAGGTCCAGAACATTATCCAGACAGGACCAGGAGAAATAGCAGGAAGATGTGCCAGGAAGGTTTAGGTTGGATATTCTTCACCCAGAAGGTAGTGGAGCACTGCAACAGGCTCCCCAGGGAGGTGGTCATCGCACCAAGCCTGACAAGATTCCAGAGGCATTTGGACAACACCCTCAGACACATGGTCTGAATCTTGGGATTGTCCTATGCTGGGGCAAGAGTTGGACTCAGTGATCCTTGTGGGTACCTTCCATCTCACATCATTCTATGATTCTAGGTTTCTTTAGGATGGCAGATCCCCTCTTCCAGCACTAAATCATGCACCCATAGGGTTCTTTGGTAGGCTCCCCTTTTATTACTCTTAAAATGGCAAGAAAATAAGTAGCTCCAAGGGACTCCTAAGAAACCAAAGCTGCAATTCAGCTCACTCCTTAGTGGGCTGAACAATTTGGAGAAGCTCATTCATCCTCACTAGCTATAAAGGCAATCTAGATAGCTATTGCAATTTTATGTGTTCCACTCTACATGCAAGGTGTTAGATACAGAGACACGTCTTCTAGGTTGCAACTGGAAGTACAAGTTGTTGGGCCAAGAGCAGTTTGTCTGGACTTATGGAGCCTTAAAATAAAAAAATAATTTCTTAGAAAGGTGAGAAAAAAGGCAGTAATCTAGGTACTGCTCTGCATTTCCTGGTCATCCATTACAGATGGATCTTTACAAGCAGCCTTCTTACACTCAGCTAAATCTCCTTATAAGTCAACCAAAACACATTGCAAAGGTAGGTCTCAAATACTGAACGCACCAGTCTCTCTTAACTGGGCACAACATAAATCTATATTTGACCATTAAAATAACAAAGGATTTTTAGCCACATACACTAAGAAACTGGATTGAAGGGGAGAAGGCAGGATCTGGATCATCAAGGCATCTGGTTGAGAATGTGGTGAAGAAAGGATCATAGTCATTGCTGCAAAAGCACACAGTTCAGGTAGTCAAACACTCCTTAGATTTACTTACACAGAGAATCACAGCACAAGCTCTCAGTTCTTCAACAGCAGACCTAAAACCTATGTCACAGCCTCAAAGATGAGGTCTGGGGCACTGGATTGGTCCAGGAAAAGGAAAAAACAGGATCAGAACAGGGACACAAGTCCCAGAAAGCTGGGCTTGCTAAGACCTGCAGAGGTGATAAGGATAGCTGGCTTTTGGGAGAATCGAGCCTCCATAACAGCTACCATTTCGTATGTCCCAGTCTTCCCTTGGAATAGCAGCAACCACAACGTCCATTTTTCCAAGGCTTTCACACAGGGAGTAGGGCCCCCTTATGCAGGCTGTTATCCCACCCTCACCAGCCTGCTTACCTAAACAGTATGGCCTGGAGATGCTGTGTTGAGCAATAGCTTTTGTTCTCCCACACTGGAATGCTCAAGTTCCTATCGGTCAGCATCCTGCTCCAGGAGCATCTTTACTAACATACTGAGGACAGCTCTGTAGTAAAGGCTCTAGATAAATTGAATAACAGGTCTTCAGACCAAGAGGAATCCCCGAAGGCATCCACGCAGACCACACACTCAATTTCTGGTAAATTAGCTGAATTTGGAGCCAGAAATTCTAAGACTGTTCACAATTCTCTTTTAATAAGAGTTTTTAGCCATGGGCAAAAAAATTGTTCTGGAGGAAAAAAAACAAGATCTAATCACCAATGAGCAGTAGAAATGAGCTGTTATACATTCCCTTCTACGAATTAAACTATAAGCTTTTGGAGAATTAATATGCTTGTGAGAAAGGGAATAGGAAGCCTTTTTTGTTAATTAATCAATCAGGCAAATAACACCATTCTTCCATGCCAGCAATAAGGAGTTATTCCATGCAGCAATCATCTTCTCATTAGAAAGAACAGCCTCATCTGAGCAGCCCAGAGGACACTCGCGCTGCCTGCACAGCAATTACAACAAGGCTGTATTCTCACGAGCATTGTCATTGGGCCTCTCTCTAAATTTGGAAGTTACACTTAGCTTGAACCTCTGTGAGGACACAGGCCAGTTATTGCTTTAGAAGTCCCATGGTAAAAGGCAAATGCCAAGAAGCCTGACTCATTCTAGCTTTGCGTCCTAGTACTCCACAAGCAGAAGAGTTCTGAGCAGGGCAAGAGCTTTCTATGGTTCAAGTCCAGGAGGTCACTGCTGCCAAGCTCTCCTACCCCAGGTTTTTCTTCCCCTACACAATCCAGAAAATATGGAAAGAAATACTGCAGTGCCAGCAATCTAGAGTGAATGAGATCTGTTCATCTTTTCCTCCAAATATGTTAAATAAGCCTCATCACCTCCCCTGCCCAGTGCTTCTCCTTCTCCAAGTTTCTGGAAAGAGCAGTTTTGACCAATACAAAAAAGCCGTGGCTTCTTTAAGGTTGAGATTTTGCCATAGAATCATAGTTTGGTTGGAAAAGACCATTACAATCATTGAGTCCATCTGTAAACCCAGCATCGCCAAGTTCACCACTAAAGCATGTCCCCAAGTACCACATCTACACGTTTTTGCACCACAATAAGTTCTCCCCAAAGCCTGAATTACTAGTAGTTTTAACTGCACAATTTGAAATTAAACTGCCTCTTGTTTTATTAGATAGGAATTCATCACAGATTGAGTCATCTATACACACACCGCCCCAGGAGCTCTTTTATCAAAATTCCCATCAATAATAGTGTACACTCTGAACAACAAGATCCAGGGAACATAAGTGCCAGACAACTGAGCACCTCTTCCCCTTCCAGTTACTAAATAGCACAGGCCATACTGTGCTTGCTTATAAGAAACATGAGAAGTTTCACAGATTTGAAAGGAATTTTTGTACATCAAAACATTTTGTTCCTCTTGCGCTGTTTTAATTTTGAACTTGTGCTGTCAGCATTGATATCCCCAATGAAAGCATTTTGGTAGAAGATATAGGCAAGTCCTTTACCAGTTCTGAATCACATTTGGACAGGAAAGGTTTTGGAGGAACTTGATGGGAAAAGTGTTATTCTGTTTCTAGGAAGAGAAGTCCCTCATAGAAACAGAAGGAGTGACATACTACTGCTGGGCTGATCTCTTGCTTTGTGTTTGTCTCGTACAGGGAGATTACACGGTTTCAGCGAGGCTGACTAATGAAGATCATGTCACTGTCGCTTGTGCCGATTTCACCGTGAAAAATTATTTAGACTATTATTAGCAGCAAATACATTTCGTGAAAGCTTCAGACTAAGCTATTCAAGCCAAGTGAGCTGCTTGTATGCAGTGATTCTGAAGGAAATAACCCTCACATCCTGGTTCTGATGCTATCCCTCTTCATAATTCATTATTTTGAAGAAGTCACTAGACCCTCTAGTGGTAATTTTATCTCCAAATGTACACTATAGCCCACTTTTTGCTTCTAGTATATACAGCTGCAAGTAAAAAGTATCTGATACCAACATTCTCATCTCAGGATGAAAATAGCATGAGGCAGAACATGCAAGAGCCTAAACATTTTTTTTGCAGTTATGGAGGTATCCATTTCTAACACAGGCTGAAGATGACATTCATATGTATCATATATTATGCAGTCCTAGCACTCAACTTTTTCAATCTTCCCTGGGGCTTGAGGCTCCACTAGTATGGATTTTGTTATAAACACAGAACAAAGACCAAATAGGATGAACATGCCTTTTTTCCAGTGATCCACTCCCTGTCACTGGATTTGTGTCACTCAAGTCTTCTGGACTCTACCTGGAATTTTTTGTTCTTTAATGTCTTTTAAGTAATATTCATATCATTCTGTATCCATGCTAAGTGCTCTTCTTGCTTCTCAATAAATTCATAATGAAAGATTAATTTTTTCTTATTTTTCCTCATGATTCTAGGATCTTTCCAAAGCTTAAAGGGTGGAAAAAGGGAATGAGGGGAAACAAGTTAATGAGCATTTTATATTTTTTTATATATATATATAAATATCATTTTGATACACATTTCATGTTTGCAGAGGACAAACTGTTCCTTTGCTTTGAGCATGAAGCCCCAGAAGTAAACACAAATTACACTCCCAGGTACATCACATCCCCAAACCCTCTTATTCCAGGAGCCTTTGCAGCTGGCATAGCTGATGGGTAGGTATATGACCAAGCATAGGGCAGCACATGGTATTAGGATCTTGGGTTAGAGAGCATATAGACCTGTTTAGGGGTCTGGAAGCATAGGGGAAGGATCAGGAGTAGAGCAGAGTTCTGATTTGGAAAGGTATAGGCAGGAATCAGAACCACAGGAGGAACCTGGAGATGAGCACAGGCTTACAAAGGATGGTAGCGAGCATTGGGCTGCATACCTCATCTTGGAGAGGTTCAGCATGTATGGCTAGGGCAGCTGTGGGTCACAGCTGGCCACACAGGAGCTCTGACACGTGGCCTCCATCCTACACACCCACATGCTGCAGTTCAAACAAATTCCTAAGCAGCAAGAACATCCCTGCTGCACAGATGACCAATGCCACAGAGCAGCCAACAGCTAGTAGTAAGGGATAGTTCCTTGATTCCCTGCCAGGCAGTGAAATTCTCACCCGCTATCCCACCAAAGGTGAGCAAGTCTTTGAGGTCTGACTCACATTAGGGAGGCTTACCACTGTCAAACATGAATCAGCAAGCACCACAGAATGAGACAGAGCACATTTCACACACTGATGTTTCAGGCCATTTCTAGTAAACTCTGATTTTGGGGGGAAAAAAAAAAAAAAAAAAAAAAAAGGCAGCCAGAGGTGTTTGGCCACCACTCCCCAGATCAGGGTTCAACTCTAAAATGCTGATGCTGTTTTGGAAGCACTTCATCCAAGTCACCACCATTGCTGTGTTCTAGGTCTTCGTAACTAATTAAGAGTACTGCAATACAGATACAAGCTCAGTTTTTTTTCCTCTCCTCACATCAGTTGATCTTCAGATTCACTTCTCTCCCTGTGATTCCCATAAGATATCAGAAAAGCCATGCCTTGAGAAGAGGCTAACAAAACTGCACTCAGCAGCAGCACTCACATTTGAGTCCACTTGCTCACCTTCATTCCACCACAACCGCACAACAAAAGCATGACTAAAACCCAAATTCCTTCCACCAAGCCTCTTGGTCTGTTATCAGATGAAAAACAAACCCAGTTTAAGTACTTCTACTTGAAACTGATCCCATAACAGCCAAGATCCTCTTAGCTAAATTTGCCAGGCTCCTTACACCCCGGGGCACACCTCAAGAGGCCCCAAGCCCCCCATAGCAAACAAACCAGCCTTTGCCTCCACACAGTGCAGGGGCTCCCCTAGAGCATCTGTAGCAGAAACTGCTGCAGGAGGTCTCAGCTGCCCAAAAAGCAGGAATTTAATCTCTAAAGCATCAGACTTCTGGCCCTCAAGTTCTTCCATCACTGACCCTTCACTACCCAGCTCACACACAGACATTGCAGAGCCTCACTACCAGCTGAACAACATTTGGCTTCCTATCACAAAAATTGCTTGCCCCTTTTCTCTTTAGACTAAGCTAAAGAACCAAGACTAAATCTTAACCCCACACTTCAAAGCTTAAACTGGAGTTTACTCCATAGCAGGAGAAAGGTATGTTTGCCATACCACAGAGCCATGGAGCTTCCTTGTCTAAAAATCATTCAGGGCTTAGCAGCTTAGACCTCAGCTGGTCTCTAAACTAAGAGCTCTGTTCCTTCAGCCTAAGAAATGCCCCTGTTTCTTCCATTAATTCTTGTTTCTAATCAGACACCACTGCACATGGCCAAGCAACAAAAACAGGGCTCAGTTTCATTGAGCTCAGCACAGCTAATGAATCTCTTGCTGTCCCACAAGGTCTGTGGTGTATTCACTGTCACACCAGAATTCAGATACATTTGGTAGCTACTACAGGTGTCTTTCTGAAAAAGCCTCAGAAAGCTTGGTAAGGCCACTGTAGCAACATCCAGGCTCTGAACATCCCTCAGCTCTGCAATGGCGAGAGCAATATCCTCCAGGGATCTGCAGCCTGGGCAAAGAGGCAATTGGATTTTGCTGAAACAAGGATCCGCGTATTTCCAGCCAGCTCTCCTTGAAGTCAGGGGATGAGGCACAAGTGAACCTCACAGCCACATTCTGGGTTCTCAGCCCTTGCTGGCAACATTGCCTGAATTGGAAGTGTCTGTATGCTGTTACTTCTCTTATATTGAAAGATGCTACTTTTTCCATAAAAAAACCATTGTTTAAATTTCTTACATTATCTTCTATACTCTCCAGTGAAGCCCTAAAACAATCCTAGAGTGTCTCCATTTTATTGCTTTGATAGTGCTCTGCAGCATGAGAAAGAGAAGTGAGGGGAACAGGGTGTTATTTAAACAAAAATCAAGTTTTTATCCCAGAAGACACTGTGAAAGTACAGCATGAAGCTATTTTTTACCCTTAACTCTCATGTAATGGACTATGATAAAGGATCTACCTAGAATATAGACCCCATTCTCTTTCATGAATTATTCTGAACTGACCTTCCCAGGACTAACAAGTGCCTCAGTGAGACAATGGGACAGGAGTTTGTTCCCCAGGAGCTCCCTCAGGGCTCAGGCAAACAATGATCAGTGTACTACATACACACTCAATAATCAGTTAAAGCTGAGATAAAGCAGTAACTAAAATGTTTCTACCAAGTCATGCACAGTCCAGTCAGAGACTTCTGTATTTCGGCAGGAAAAGTCAATCACAGAATTGCCTAGATTGGAAAAGACCTTTAAGATCATCAAGTCTGATCATTAACCCAACACTGACAAGTCCTCCACTAAACCATGTCCCTGAACAGAGCTCCCACTACTCCTTTACACCAGCATATCCCTAGATCAGCATGAAGGTCCCCCCACAAATCTAACTCTCACCCACCCAGCCTCATCACATGGCTGTACACTGCAGAAACACTAGTTTCTGTGCAGCAGGAGGATGGGGCTTGCCTGGAGGACAGCACTCAGACTAACGTGGCACATGCCACAGTGGTGAACCAGCCTAGAACAGGAAAGCCTCCTGGACCTCACATGGATGCAGTACCTTGCTCACACAGTACAAGAGATCCGGCTATGGCAGATATGAGGACAGAAAGTCACACACGGTCCCCTGAGGCAGTGAGAGGAAAGTCTTGCTTGGATTGCTCTGCCAGCCTTCCAGATTGCTCCAGTTTACCCACAACACCCAAACCTCCAGGGAGGGCTCCAAAAACAAGTACTCTGGCCAGGTAATGCAGCACCATTTAAACATCAGAATTGGGGAAGAAAAAAAAAAAAGTATTATGAAGCAATCTTCTGCAGATTAACACCCACAGGGTTGACTTCCCACTGTCTGCTCTCTTCCCTTGCTGCTCAGCCTGGCCTCTCCTTTGAGGCAGGGACACTCTGTGGTTCTTCAGCACTGCTCTGACCCAGCAAGGAGAGCTGTGGTGTTAGCAGGTTCACTTAAGACCAGCTCTCCACTTGTGTCTCAGGCCTCTCTAGGTTAAATGCATTAGGAGCTGGCCTTAAACTGGATCTGAACTCAAGCACACTAGTGTCTACAACAATCTCCCCAACAACATATTAAAAAGAAAAATACAGAAGGGACAAAAACAGTATGGAAAAAGTCAGAAATAAAGCTGCCTTTGTTTTGCTCTTAACACATGAAGTGAGATGCCAGATGTTGGCATAGAAAGACTCTGCTCATGAGGCCTTAAAACTTAAAACCCTCTGCCTCTCCATGGCGCTACTACATTCCTCACCCATGTTACTTGCTCCCAGAAGCTAAGTATTTCCCCAGTCACTGAGACCAAGCAAGAGCACACATTCATCAAGTGAGGTTCCCTCCCTCCCACACCAGACACCAGCCATAGACCCTGAAAGGATCAGAGAGGAGCAATTCATTTCAGACAGGAGAATAACTGCCAAGAAGGATTCAAGCATCTCTAGTTGGGGGAGAAGAGGGGAACCCTGAACAAAGATCAGACAGAGAAGAGACTCCCCAAGGGGCCCAGCCAGAGGATCAAGGGGATTTCTACCAGCAGGGTATTTTGTTGATAAGGGTTGTAGAGCTACTCAGTCTGCCAGGCATAAGCCTGCAAGATGGTAAAGCATTCCCTGTTGGCCCTCTGATAATGCCTGTACTATCTAGTTATACAATAAGCCTTAGGTTGTTTTCCTAAACCAGGCAGTGGCTGGCAAAGCTAAAAGAAGATACTGTTGTCTCACACTGCAGTAAAGCAGCCTCACACATACTTTCCTTCTCCCTGCTGATACTTTCCTTCTTCCTCTCAGCTGCGCAGAGGATACCAATGCCATCAGTGCAAGAGCAGGGCACTCCCAGACCGAGCAGGGAACAACTTAAGAGGTTCAA